CCCTAGCCCTCACTTAGGCCCCGCTAACCCTAGCCCACACTTAGCCCCCGCTAACCCTAGCCCACACTTAGCCCCTAAAAAAAATGTCAAAATAAATAGTCTTACCTTCTGCCAAATCCTGTCATATGGTCAACGAGATCTGGAAAAGCCTGTAGAGTGTTGAATTCTACTGGGAAATTTCTTACCTGTTACTCACATTGTTAAGTTGGCAGGAGCGTCCTGCGTGGTAGCGCAACAGTACTTTACCCAACCAGAAATATTTAAACACTGACAAGTTAGTATCTTTTTACACACAGATGGGAAACTGCAAATATTAAAATTACTGTGTAGTTCAGTACATGTTAGAAGCAGATGGTCAGCAAACACATAAAACAGTCCGGCCTTCTAAACAGAAGATAGTATTAGGACTGTCGCACAGCCTGCATGACATCAGCAGTACTGGAGAAAAGGACTCAACTATCACTCAAATCCTCAAGTCAGCAAGCAATTTTCACAGGAGGCTGAAGTTGCTTGGCCACTCCTAGGGAGCCTGAACCAGGAACCTGTTGTCTTCTCTGGACCGTCCTGCATGGAATCACAAAACTACTTTACCCAAATGTACTCGATTTTTTTTCCAAAGCACTGATGCTTTTTGCACATACAGGGAAACTGCAAATAGTAAATGAAGTGGCTGAAGAGGGAAGCATAGTTCAGGACATCCTACATATTAGAAGCAAATTCAGTTGACACATTATGCAACAGTCAGGCTCTTGACAAGTCTAATAAAATGTACTGTTTTTTGAACTGTCACACTGCCTGCATGACAAGCATTACATATCAAAAACCACTGGAAAAAAGGTCTTACCGTTCACTCAAGACTGCTGGTAATTTCCACTATCGCAGGAGCTCTAGAAGGACCACTACCTGAGGCAGGAGCCTGTTGTCTTCGCTGGACCGTCCTGCGTGGAATCCCAACACTGCTTTGCCCAACTCATTCTAAAAAATTCTTTGAAACACTAACTAGATTGCATCTTCTTGCATACACAGGCCAATGTTATTTAGCAATACAAACACATTGGGCAACAGCAAATAAGGATCCAAATTATTCTCCAGGGCAGACAACTCAGGCATGCTATACAGTTAGAAAGACATTTTATTAGAGCCATTACACAGCCTGCAGGACAAGCATTACATACCAAAACAAATACGTTGATGAAGAGCCCAGGCCTGGCCCATCTTCTCTCCTTTGACCTGGATGGTTCTTTCACTTGAGGTAGACTGCCCATAATCAACAATTGCAGTTTAGTGTACTAAAAGACTACAGAAGACATTAAAAATGTATTAATCCACTGTCAAAATTACATTCCAGGTAAAAAGTTAATTTGACAGTCAAATTGGAGTACATTGTAACACTAAGCCAGTAAACATAAGGTCTTAACCTGCAGTGTTGAGGTTACACTAGTGTTGCAATTTCAATATTCCAACAGTACAAAGTTTACTTTTCAGGACAAAAAACAGTAAGACACTATTCAAATGAATAAACATTTAGAAAACTCATTTGTGATATATTGCGCAACAAACTCAATGAAACATTGCTCTTTAAATACCAATTTAAAGAGTCAGAAATGTGCATTCAGTGCATTTTTACAGGGTACACACACAGACACACACACACACACACACTAGAACAAACATCGCAATCACCTTAAATTACCAAGTAATTCAAACTGTTAAAGCATTGTGAAAAATGCATGCAGTTGGATGTATGAGCTACGTCTCTGTGGTAGTGTAGTTAACAATGCAAGTCAGTCATACCTTTTGTTTGTACTCATGGAACCACCAGGTTTCTTGCCCAACGCATATAGAACAAACTGAAATGAGTAAATTACATTATTTCAACAAAAAGGAAATTATCCGCAACAATTTATAAAACTGGATTACTCAATTGCTGACAGGCTATCCACAAAGTAAGGTCAAACATTTTACACATCAACTAAACCATTTGGCCTCTTGTCAGTAAAATCCAGTGGTAGAATGGAGATTTAAAAAAGGAATTTCCAAAATCTTGGGCCATGTATTGAAGTCAGAGGTTGCCCCCTAACCTAAAGGTAGTCTTCATCTTGCAGTGAACATAATCTAGTAACTCTGGCATGCCATTCGGAATGGTTTTTAAATGGTCACCTTGATTCTGCAGGTGTCGAACCAGCCATATCAGTCTGAGAAGAGATCACAAGCCATTAGTAAAGTTCAACATGAGTAAATCCCTTCTAGAAGTACCATTGCCCAATTTCTATGTGGCGGTCAACTTCCTTGTTACAAGAGAATGGAGGGAGAAATAGTTGTAGGGCTGCTGTATAATCCTGATAGTTTAGCAACTGTAGAAAAGACATTTGTAACCACCAATAGCACAGGGTTGATTATTTCATGAAATTCATTAAACAACCACACAGGTGTGGTTCAACCTAACAGGTGAACAAAGTTAACAGACTGAGGCAAAGAACTGCCACAAATTACAACATTTAAATTTTCAAAAAAATATAGCAATCATATGAAGCATTTAAACCAAATGGGCTTCAACAAACAAATTGAGTGCTACTGGTGACTAGGCCGCAGCAGGGGGCGGGGTTGGCACAGGCTCTGGGACACTGCCCTCACGGCTTTGATGCTCCACACACAATGCAAATCAAAATAAGCAATTACTAAAATAAATAAAATAAAATAATAAATAAATATATATATATATATGCAAGAAATAGACCAACAAACTACTGGGAATGTCAGGAGCAGGTGAGAGGCCCAGTCACCAGACTCCCCACCATCTGGGCAGCCATGCTGTTGAGCCTCAAGCACTCTTAAGAATCAAATTTAACAAAAAGTAGTCTTCAATTTAAGGTAATCTAACTAATACTACCAAAATAAAAGAAACACAATATAGCAAAAGAGCAGTGGCTTCCGATCCCACCCTGGACCTTGAGCCTCCTCGACCAGGACCAGCTCACACATGGTTTGCGCCTCACTGACAAGCTGGGAGACAAACCATAAGGATCACAAATGGCCCAAACATTTGCCCAAGAACTGAGAATAAAATCACTTACCAGCTCACTGGATTCTCAAGCCAGACTCCAACAGTTATAGGATAGGGACAAGCATGCTGACACAGCTGCATTATATGCAGCTTTTATACCCTGTCCAATGGGTAAACCAGGAAGTAGGAGGTACCAAGGCCTGCTTGAACCTACGGTAGCTCAGAAAGGACATTTCCTCACTGGCCACACATTGAAAACAATTATTTATTATTCAAATCATTCATTTATAATCTTACAGGCTGAGCTTCTTCACAACAACAAGCCACATGCGTGTATATGATTTGCAATCGGAAATTGATGTCTCTCAGAAAGGGGAAGAAGCACATTTGCAGAATGCTAAATTGGAAGCGGAAGACTTTAAAATGTAAGTATATTGGAATGACTTACTAATCTTTTGGTTGAGTATATATTGTACTGGTTCCACTACATTAAAGTGGGTCCTTTAGTAAACCTCTCTCCTCCAAGCACTGGAAAGTGGACCTGTACCACCAATTGATTCTGACAAGGTTTCTCTCACATATTGCACTAGCTAGCTTTTCAACTACTGACTGGTCAAACTGGCATCCACTATCTCTCAATACTTGGCTAATAGTCTTTTGAGTAATTTGCACAGACAGAACCAATCAAATAGTTAAACTACTGCAGAATCTAATCCACAGTTTTATTTGACACAAGACATATTTTCTAACCTAAGCAGAACGGATGCAATTTTAACCTCAATATCCTTCTCCAAGGTTTGAGAACTGACTTTTTAAAAAACACAATTTAAAATAGCATCGCTCTCTATACTTTCCCCATCTGAAAAACTAATGGCAACATTGGCACAAGATTCTTCAACTGAAAAAACAGCATCAGAGTTATTAATTAGTTAATCTAAAATAGCCTGCAGGTGTATAAATTGGAAAGTGAGTGATTGTCTGTCTGTGTGTCAACCCTGTGACTGTGATAGGTTGTACACCGTATCTGGCCCGATGTTAGCTGCAACCCTCCAAGGATAAGCAATAGAGGAAATGACTAACCTCATTCTCAATTGAAGTTATCTTATTAGAAAGATATGTATTTTGTACTTTATTAAAACCAAATATACAACATTTCTCACATTACTTACATACGTTTTTGTCCATCTGGCAAACAGCAGCTTCGGCTGTCTATTACGTTGTGTCCATGGCAACAATAAAGGTGATAAACCCGAACATATTTCTAAAAGGAACAGGTGAGTCTTATTGAGTTAATCAGAGAGAACAGAGACACAATAGTCTAAAGTTGTTGCGTTAAAGTGAAAGATTCTGACCAGCTGAGGTATGCAATACGTTAGACGTTGAGTTCAGTATTTCCTCACTTGCTCCAAAAAGTAACCCCACCTGTCTCTCTGTCTGTCTCTCTCTCTAGATTAGAAGAACCAGTGTCTCTTGTCTCTTGTCCAGAAGAAGTTAATTTTTGTATTGCTCATTTTAGGGAAATGATGCTGGAGAGAGGGGTAATACACACAGAAACATTTTCAAATACATTAATATATAAATGAACAGTTATATGTACATGTAATGGAGAACTGTACGCACAATAAACTGAACCATGTGGCGTAACTCATAACTTACAAATCTTTGCCAAAGTTACATCATCTATCAAAGTACAGCCAGTCCTCCTGGTCCATATCTCAATGAAAGCATCATGCTGCTTCGGCAAACAAATCTATTGTTCCACCGCATCCCAGTGGTGCCGGGGATTCGATTTTGGGTGTGGCGAGTCCATAACCAAGAATTTCCTCAACATGTCTCTTTGGCTTTTGGGCTATAAACCTGAGAGCAGCTTCACGACCATCAGCAGGGACAAGCATTCCGCATCCAAAGTCACTTTCATCTCTTGTCTTTCTCATTCGGCTACTCGGTTTGAATTTCAAAAGCAGGTTGTTTTCACCAGCCTTGTTGCCCTCACAAAATAATGGAGTACATTCAGCCACACTTCTGTTATATTTGGACACAGTAGATTACACACATTTTTACACATTTATTGAAATATTAAAAAAATGTTTATGTCTGTCCTGAGGTGTCAGTGTTCTCCACATGGGAGAAGGAGCTTCATAAAATGATTTTTGATCCTCGATACCTACTGCTGACGTCACAGCAGAGGAAACAGGTTTGTTTGAGCAATGTTTATTACTCTACCTGTTTCTGGCCTAGATGTCTTACTTTTATGACTGTGAGATCAGTTCTGCATGTGTAATGTGTGTGTAGGTGTTTGATCAGTTTGTGAAGAGCCGGCTGAAGAATGAGTACAAAGAGAAGAAGATTAAAGTCCAGAAAGCTAAAGAAGAATTCAAACAACTGCTGGACGAGGCTAAGATTGACAGCAGGTATCATTTCTTAATCATTCACAATGTCACTCTGTTCTTTTAATTTCCGACCTCCTCCACATCTGAAACAAATACTTGCTCAATCTCCAGCTGATGGTACAGACGTGATTAAAAATCAAACGTCACGTGACATCATCATAAGGATTGTGGGCCCCAATTTTTGTTTTCTAGGAACCTGATGTTTCTCCTCCAGGACCTGTTGTTTCTTATTTAGGACCCTGATTTTTCTCCGCTAGGACCCTAATGTTTATCCTGTGGGACTCAGACCTTTCTCTTCCAGGACCTTCTAGGATGTTTCTTCTGTGGGACCGTGATGTATCTCCTCTAAAACCCGGGTTATTCTCCTTTAGATCGCTGATGTTTTTCCTTTAGGTCTCAGATATTACCCCCTAGTGTGTTCAATCCCCTGTGACGTTGATATTTCTCCTGTAGGTCGTTTGTTAAAGTGAGTTTGTAGTTTAAGTTGTCATCTTCTTTATTTTTCTGTTTATTATGAAACAACAGAAATTAACTTTCGGGGATTTAACAAACTGAGACTCGACTACATTAATCACCCCGTGTTTCTTAAATCTTCTCCTCACATTGACCTTTAAGGAGTTTTGTGCTCATTATCATGGTGACCAGCGGTTTGAAGCCCTGAACAGAAAGAAGGAACAGGAAGTACTCTTTCACCATCACTATACTTTCTTAAAGAAACGAGACCAGGAGAAAAGATCCAGAATAAGGAAAATTATATGAGAGACCTTAAAATGTCTCTGAACCTTGCAGAACCATCTAGAATATTTTGTAGAACTCATACAGGACCTTCCAAATCCTCCCATAACCTTTACAAGACCTTCTAGGACCTTCTGTTCATCACACTGAGCATTTTCATATTTGCTGATGGATCCTGGTTTCAAACTGATGGTTGTGTTGGTGACTCCAGACTAGCACCACACAAACTACATAGAACCATAGAATAAAAGATGGACCCACAGAGAGCACATCGTAACATCTATATTTAGAAGGACAGGAGGAGGACCAGAAGCATTGAAGTTGACGCTGGACTGTTGTCAGTAGTGGACTTATGTTATCTGAACCTGCTGAACTGGTACAGAATAACTTTTATTTTTTAATTTAAACTTCTCTTGCACTATGTTTTCTTATCTATCTTGTTGTCCATTGTCTTATTGTCTGTTATTATCCACCGGGGGTTAGGGTTAGGGTTGTATGTCTAACATATTTTGGTAATAAATATTCCTGATTCTTGAAATGATGATGATGCTGTGATGGCTCTGGGTGGCCAGCAGAGGGAGTCAGACCTCTGGCTATTCATCTCTGTGTCACACTGAAGGATGCTGGGAGGAAGAGGAGTAGAGGGAGAGGAAGGAGGGGGTCTAGGATGACGCCAGCAGAGGCTGCAGAGAAGCTAACAGCATCAACACACAAACATTCACCTATTCGAGCTAGGTGCTAACAGAGTCGCAGAGGACAGATTGTCTGACAGCTGGAAGGAGGCAGATAACAGCAGCACACATATCAGTATACACACTGGTATATAGGACGCTCTACTAAGGCTAGTTGGTTAGCATGCTTAGAATATAAGCCTCACTTTTAGAAACACACACACACAAACTCTCAGGTATGCCGTGTGTGAGGCTTCGTATTGGACGGTGAGTGATCTATATCCATTCATAAGTGTGTGCTCAGTTACGCCTGTGTTAGTGTGCGAGTGTGCGGGTACACGGAAGAATATTCATGTAGGGCCGCTGTGCAAAGTGTCGATTGCCAGACATAATATTTGATATTATATACTACAGAGTACACATGCAAGTGCTACTAAACTGCTCTAGGATAACCACATGGTAAACATGCAATTACTGCTTACATGGCTTCATATTGATACTACTGTTATTACTGCTAAAACTACTTAATGACACAATATGTACTATATATTCTACTAATATAGAGTAATACTCACCTTTTCATGTTCAAATAATATGTTTTAAAGGACATGCAGTGTGATATCTGGTTTCCAAAGACAACTGAGTACTTCACAATGTAAATATGCAATGTTTATACTCCTAAGTTGTCTACTGTTTATAGTTGCTTGTATTTGTTTGTATATTCATGGGATAACACAAAATTGTACTTGTTTTGGTGTATTTCTGTTGGACACATGACTAACACCAACCTGCAAAAGACTACAAATCAAATTGGACTTTGTAAAGGTTGTGTTTTTGTATTTGTCAACAGGTCTAGATGTAGTCAAGCTTCAGATTGACAGACAGATCTTTGGGGATCGGCGCTTTCTGGTGGTGGTAATGTCAAAGAGAGGAGCAGGGGGTAGGGGGAAAGGGGAGCGACCCGATGCCATGGCAACTCTTCAAGCAGCTAATGAGGAACTGAGAACCAAACTGACGGAAATCCAGATCGAACTCCAATATGAGAAGAACAAGGTAAGAACTACAAAACCCAGAGTAGCATTAGGATGATATTAACTACGGCTGATAGAAAACCACTCCTAGGTTAGCCGCTTGGAGAGAGAGAAGAGTCAGGAGCTGAAAGCAGAGCATCACCGGGCGACAGTCACTGTGACCGAGCTGAAAACCAAACTCCACGAGGAGAAGCAGAAGGATCTCGCTCTGACTAGAGAGACATTGCTACGGCAACACGAGATGGAGCTGATGAGAGTCATTAAGATCAAAGACGGGGAAATTCAGCGTCTGAACGGCTTGGTGCTGATG